TCAGGCTTCGGGGACGTCTTGGCAGGAACGACAGTCACAACGCTGCCCATCACCTCCTTCTCGTTGAAGAGATCGATGGCCTTTTTCACAGCCGCCGCGTTCTCAAAGAAGACGATGGCGTAGCGGCGACGACGCACCCTCACCCCGACAACGTTGCCGGCGCCACTGAAGACTGCCTTGGCGTCGTCCACAGAGCCCTGGCCCCAGTTCTTCACGTACACGCCATGGTGGCTGCCGGCTGCCGGGCGCTGCTTTGTCTCCTTCACGGCGGCGGGCTTCGGCGCGCCAGCCGCGGGCTTCGGCGCGCCAGCCGCTGACTTGGGCGCGCCAGCGGCGGCCTTGGGCGCGCCAGCGGCAGCCTTGGGCGCAGGGGCCTTCTTCTCAGTCTTTGCCGCGGGAGCCTTCGCGGCGCCCTTCTTCTCGCCCTTGGGCGAAGAGGCCTTGGGCGAAGAGGCCTTGGCAGCGGACTTGGCGGGCATTACCCTTTGGTTTTGTTACTCGAAGTTCGAGGTCGGATTTTTGCTAACTTGCTTCAGGGGTTAACATGGCAAAAAGGAAGGTGCAAAAGCAAGATCTTATATATATATATATATATATATATATATATATCTTTATTCGTCTCTGTTACATTTGTTTATATATCCTTTCTCTCTTGCCCTCTTTAACAACTCCTTTTTTTTTTTTTTTTGGGGGGGGGGGGGCTCTTGCTGCTGTCTTGTTGCGGTTTGCGGCGTTCATGGCTACGCCAAGCAACACCGCCGTGGTGCAGCCATACGTCGGGCAGGCAACAGCACGCGCTAGACGCGGGTAGGCACTAGCGTCGCCGGGCTCTGGGGCAGGCAGCCACAACAGTCACGAATGGTCGCTGCTCCCCTGACGGCAGCCGCAAAAGATGCGGCCACAAAGAGACGAAAAGGTTCGAGTGGAGGCCAACGGAGTGCAGCGCCGCACGTCCAATTCCCACGACGTGTGCCTCAAAACGCTCGGGAAACAGCGCCACTGGGCCCCGGAAGCACTCCAGTGGGAATGAACGCCCCGCGATGCCGACAAGCTTAACGCAGCACTCGCGAAGACCCCAGTGTTGCGCCAAAACGACATCAACCGGATCGGCACAGCCGCCGTACGTCCTCTTGACCTTCGCCACGTCAACGGCGTCCAACGCGGCTGGCTGACAACGCGGCATCCAACGCGCGCCAAAATGGGGAAACCGCCCCCGAACCTGAGCTACCCGGCTCACATCCACCACGTCCATGCCGAAGGCAAACGGCACGTTATCCCGCCACGCCACGGCGCCACCAACTGCATCCTCATGAGAAAGCGAAAGAGTGGCTCCGTATTGCCGCGCCTCCTCCCTCGCACCCACAAAGAAAACGGAAGCGTTCAGTGAAGATGAGAGGGCCGCAGACGCCGCTAAACGGGAAAGGACGTAGGGCAGTTGGTGATTCACGTGCAATAATTGGGCTCTTTTCCTCAATTCGGGAGAAATGCATTCAGACAAAACCGGCGCAACAGCCAAAAAGGCGCTGACACCGGTGTCCTCTCCCAAGACCTTGCTCAGCCGTTGTAGACTCATCACGGCCGTGCGGAGCCGTCAAGACGAATTTTGACGCAGCTGCACTAAAGAAAAAACGTAAAAGTGCCAGCCAAAAGCATATATATATATATATATATGTTTATATACAAAGGAGAGAAACAAAAACAAAAGTAGCAGCAAAAAGCAGAGAAATAAAAAAAAAGTGACACACACACACGCATGAAAGAGCCGAAAACACACATATGTGAATGTGAAACATGTAGTGAGTAAATGTTTACAGGTAAACGTTAAAAATGGGAAAAAATGAAACAAAAATAAAAAAAGTAAAAACAACACTTTACTCTCACTTCTTGTGGGCCTGCTTCTTGTTGAAGCTGTGGGCGTCCATGAGAAGCTTCGCACGCTCTGCACGAGCCCTCTCCTTGGCAAGGGAGCGGGTTGACAGGGCAACGCGAAGCTGCTTGCCACGGAATTCCACGCCGTTCTTCTCCTTCACCACCTTCTGTGCGGCGACGGGAGAGTCCAGGTAGACGTATGCGTAGTTGTTGCGGTAAGTGCGCAGGCGCAGCACCTTCAGGCCCGCGAAGAGCTCACGAATCTGCTGCTTCGTCGTCGACGCGCGGAAGATGGGAGAGACGAACACAACCGAGGAGTTCTCATGCGGGTCAGGCTTCGGGGACGTCTTGGCAGGAACGACAGTCACAACGCTGCCCATCACCTCCTTCTCGTTGAAAGAGATCGATGGCCCTTTTTTCACAGCCGCCGCGTTCTCAAAGAAG